CGAAACCTGTGGTGGGATGTAAAACTAGGGCAGTGCTTCTCGGCATCGATTGGCTACACGTACAGGAATAGGATTTTTCGACCGGACAAAAGTGTTCTGAATTTTAGCCTAGTGGAGGAATCATTATTTCGAAATATGCACTGTGACCGACCAGAAACAGCTGAGACACGTGCCATAGAGGAGAAAGATTTATCTCAGTCGGGAGCCGTTGTAGTCATTTAAACGCAGAGCTACTATCAAACGAACGAGTAGTCAGAGATTAGGATACAAACACAACAGGAATCGGACGGTGCCCAGGTACAGTGATGGATGATTTCGGCCCAATCACAACACAGAGATGATGCATGTGTTTGCATGGGCTTTGGCGAATAAAAATGGTTGCTGATTCGGTTAGTCGAAAAAGCAGCGGAAATTCAGGCCACGATCCTTCTTCTTAGAGAATATCGGAAACAGAGTGGATTCGATCAACATAGAAAACCAATGCAGTAAATTAATGCCTATATGGACACTCAAAAAGAGCTCTGAAATCCGTGGGGGGTCTGGCAAATTATGCATCGACACTAGCCATTGGCTCGGACAACGACTGCGAAGGATGAGAGTCTTCGAAAGTGAAGGCTTCCATTGCGAACCACGAACAGAGGGGACACGAAAGCAAAAACCTCATCTGCACAGAGCTTTTAAGGAAACCAGCCTAATCAAACGTATTCCCAAACGTTGTCCGAATATTTATTATGAGTGGACTAGCATTGTTAGAAGGTTGTCCGAATATTTATTATGAATGAGCAAGCATTGTCAAATGATTCAGTAACTTTCGAATCAGATATTACTCGCCCATTCTATTAGTAGTATGCACCGTCCATGCAATAGCTACGAAACAGCAGTCCGATCCTGGTTAGAAAACACTCGCTGTGTGTATTTCGTGCGTGCTGAATGTGATTAAAATCAATAGGCCACTGGAACGACATGAAACGTGGCCATCAGGCCACCGAAAATACCAGACGATGAGCTGTCTGCTGGACGTGATAATCAGGCCCCTTCGATCATGAATGATGGAGACTCGTTGACCGTAGTTCAACAAACTGAGAGGAACAATCAAATGGAGAACACTGACGTGGATATAATAAGCTTTCTAGAGGGAGACCAAAACAGATCGTACTGTTGGAGTGACCAGCGGATGACGGTGAGATGTGTTCACCCAACAACTTTGAAACTAAGCCCATGTTGCAATGTCAAATGTCCTCTGTTCGTCCGAACGTAACAGAGGAAATCGGCCTTTGACAGTTTGTTTCAACGAACTGGCTGACGATCCATTCGTGTGTCACCATTCGTCCCAAACTTGTCCAGCGCAACTTCTCTAGAGTATTCGGTGTGCAAAGAGCTATTTTCTCCTACAGTCATCCAATGTCCTTGGCATTTATTCGATGAACTCATGTTTTGCTAGCTAATGCCCAAGCTCGGCTAAAAGATCCCCAGCCTAATTCAGTCAATAGTTCTTGCGTACTTTAGTCAGCTACAGGGTTTTCTTCATGCTAAGAACGATTAAATGCTCAAAGCATTCACCAGTCATAGATAACTCTCCAGCCGGAGACGGCCCCAGCAATTTCTACTCTGTATAGTTTCCAATAATCGATATCTCGTCCCCGTCCGTATTGATCGGGGAAATTTCATTGCACTGCATTACTACCTTTTCTGTCATCCCTTTTGACAAAAGTAACATGTGTATGAGGGTTTTAAGAGGCATTGGTTTGCTCATAGCAAAACAGAAAACCATCAGCGATCGATAAAACCGATATCCTCATTATTTATCATCACTGGTCAAAACGCCTGACTACACACATGTTGACGCACCTCAGCAATAATTACCGTTCAGGTGGATGAAAGGTTCTCGATGCGATCACAACATGCTGTTTAAGGAGTACCGCTCATGAAACCGCAAAATGAATCGAGAGTTTAGAACAGAAAATGGGGAAATCCGGAGGGTCTTTCTCACTGTACCAGGGTAACTTTGGATACTACTGATGAGGCTGAGAGTAGTATGTGTTTCCTCGCAACTCCTTGATCTGATGGAAATGTGGAATTGCTTTGTAGCATTCGTTTACGTTTGAGTGATATTCAATGAATACCTAGGAAAGTTCAGGAAGACACATTTGAGAAGAGGACGGATATTCAGTTTTTAAAAACATGTGAGAGTTTAGCTTCCCTGTCCAATAGTCTGTCGCTGTTTAATTGGTGTTTTCAGATGAGCAACTTCCCCACCAAGGGCTTTCTTACTTACACCAGTATTTCGTTTTATTCGAAATCAGTTTGCCGGTGGTACAGTTATTGTGGTAATCTTAAGTGATCGGGTTCCTTGTTTTCCACGTGCTAGCAAAGTCTCCTGTCTCACGTGAACTCCAAACATGGTTGGGTCGACCCCCCCATCCCAACACTGTGCATCCTCAGCACAGCCGGTTGCTTGTACAACGTTGCATTCAAGGTCACAAAACAACGAAATAAAAGGACTGGGTTCCTGGTGCCCAGATGACTTACCGGAACGATTCACGCAGATCATATTCACAATTACTGCTAGCAAGACTGCGGCCAATGATGTTCATAAATTCAACCGGGGTGATATAGTTCGTGGGCCGACCGCATAGATTGCTCATACTTTCCTGAAGCAGTTCGAATTTGATGACAACTGGGTTGTAAAATCTTCCTTACTTTCACTTCGCAAAGCGACCTGACGTGTCCCAACGATTTGTATAGTGTCAAGATTTCCGCCGGAGATAAGAGACCATCTCTGTCCTTATCTAAATGATTGAATGCCTCTAGAAGTTCTTCTTGTAGAGTTTCATCTAGTCCAGTTCGGAAGTAGGTCATCGTGTGTGTACCACGTGAATGCTGAAAGGAATGAAACACGAGTTGTTTTGTGAACCGTTGTTCCCCTGAACATAATTTTCACCTCAAGAGAGTCAGTAGTTGAGGTGCGAACTTACTGACTGGAAGTCCCGTGGTTCGAACCCAACTTCTACACCTGGACCGCTCCTGCGTAGGCGTGTGTAGCCCGGCAGTATCACAGCCCTCGTGTTTCCTTCGGGTGACATGGCAAAGGTGCTACATCTGAAGGCGGTTTATTACTGAAAGTCCTTTTTGCAGTTCCCCGCAGAAAGCACTTTCCTGTAACGGCTGCCTTGGAGGCCATACTCGACATTGGAATAGAAGGATCACCAACCAGGTAGCGTTCTGCCATAACTCCTTCACTCAGTTCGGCTGTGATCATCTCCAGATGAATAGAGTTCCTCCTGTGGTGTGTTTTAAATGCCAAATGGTTTGGAGGGATTCGCCACAATCCAAACACTGTATCCAAGGCAAAAGAGTTACTCACCTATTCTTATATGTCAATGTGACGAAAGGGCCACTTTCATTGAACTGAGTGAGAGAGTTATGACAGAACGCCATCTGGTTCGTGATCCTTCCATTCCAAGGTCAAGTATGACTTCTAAGGCAGCCGTTACAGGAAAGTACTTTGATTTGGGGTGTCCTCTATTGACATGTCAATCTGTCTCATTACAGAGGAACATATGAAGAGTTGGTGTAACGTCTTCAACAAAATTGTCAAACCCAACGAACAACTCAGTTGCCGAGCCAGCAATTGGAATGACTAACGTTCAGTGTTTGAGGAATGTGGGAAGTTTCCTCTAGCCAAACAAACGTCAATTTTTAAACTAGTCAGCACCAGCCTGCAACATGATTTGGGCACATAAACTCATCGATGTGCCAAATGTGGATGAGCAGAATTTTGGAAGTAATGCTGAAAATTGTTCATTGATTACACTCAGAATTTACTCGTGCAGTTGCGCAATCGAATGATGCCCACTTGACCAAACAACGTTCAAGGTCAGATGTTGGACAAGGCTTCCAGTGATTGGTTGAAAACCAAGTGACTTTTCAAGTACCCTGGCTGTTGATGTGAATGTTTCACTGACGAGGCATAAGCCCCGACAGATTTTCAGTTATGCGAGCCATAGAAACCATCAGGTAGCTGAATGGTCGTGTTCCTATTTCTAGTCTCTTGTCACGGTTGTGATGTCGCTGAGTGAGTACGTCTCATAGCGTTAGTCTAACCCATGTTCATACTCAAATGGGTTGAGAGGGGAACAACGCAACACAACAGACATTAGCACATCGGGACGCTGTGAACTTGCATATGCCAGTGTCTCTGGTGATCCACAGTTCGAACATCTCGATCGGAGATATTGTAACCACTCTCAAAAACTCTGGTAGACGATGTAGGCAAGAAAAGAATGAATCATTTAAGTCAGATAAGTGAATCAATTAGCAAGGCAGATGAACTCCTTCTCACCATCATCATAACCGTCATCAGCATCGTCATCATCATCATCGTTATCATCATCATCCTCATCACCCTCACCGTCATTATCATCGTCATCGTCATCACCATGATCATCAGAGACAGCAACATCAGTCTTAGCACTAGCGCTTCAGTGCCGTACAACCATAAGGTTTACCTGAAAATATTTTAGGCCCTAGAGTGTCGAGAATGGAAAAAAGAATGGGTGAGGGAGGGGATCTAGTGCCGGCCTATGTCGAGCATTCTGAGGTGCCCACGCCCCCAGTATTCAATCAGATCGATGGAACGAACACCACTGGTATCGATCAGCCGCCAGTTCTTGCAACGTCTCCAGCCAAGCACACGCGCAGTCACAGGGACCCCATTCTAGAAGGCGTACAATAGCAACGACACGCAAACTCTTCACTCTTTCTTTCACACCATTCTGCCAAGCCACACGTTGTCCACCTTGCGGTTTGCGCCATTCTGAAAGAGGCACGGAGGACAACACTCGTCTGGGTAGACGGTGTTTCGACATGCGTGGCACATGAGCGATTGACCGCAGATGAGGATACTGACTGTTCTCCGCGACTGAATTACTTGCCATCAAACCAGATGCCCGTTTTCTAATCGCCCTGTTATTAACACGCTGACGCCATTGAAAACCAGCATGGAACTTCTGGAAGGTTGGTCTCTGAACGAAGAGAAAATCTACATGAGTGGGCCGGTGTGTCAAATAATCTTTCGGGGTTTATGAAAGTAGCCCGGGTAAGAACACTCCGCAGTCAAATCCGTACTGAATTCGTTTGTCTTCTGTCCTTATGATGAGCAACAAAGTGGATGTTTGTTCTCGCGAATAGCCAGAAACTCTAGAAGTAGATGGGTGAGTATCATTCACTGCTACCATTGTAACGGTGACTACTACTGATGAGGCTTGCAGGTAGTATTTTTTTCTCGCAAATCCGCTTTGCGCCTCTTAAAAAGTGAGATCTGTTACGTAATTTGTGTAGTCACATTGTAGCAGTTGCTTTCATTTGAGTAACAGTCAATGAATATCCAGGAAAGTTCAGGAACACGCGTTCAAAGAGAAGATGGATATTCAGTTTTTGTAAACAAGATGCATATGAGGGTTTTGCTCCCCTGTCCAATAGTCTGTAACTGTTCAGTTAGTGTTGTTCTGATAGACAACTCTGCAACGAGGGCCTTCTCCCGTTCACCGGTATCAGGCACCACAGCAACCGGTGTTTCGTAGTGAAGGCTAATTCGCTCACTGTAGCTCCCAGTTTGCATCGCTAAAGTTCTGAACCAATAGTCCCATGATTAGCAGTTCCACAACGATGTCCTTATCTTCGGCAACGTGAATCAGTCGCAATTTTTGCATCACATATCAGGTCGCACTTTTGCTAAAAGTATATATGAGACAGACTTTGCTGTATAAACCCCGTTCCATCCTAGCATGAACTCTCTTCCACTTCAAGATACCCCCAGGGTATCTTGTAAAGCAAGTCCGTTTGAGGAAGAGACACGAGTGACAAAGCACATGTTAGAAAACCGTTGGGACCCAGGTACAAACAAACCAGTTTCCAGATGAATCACGGAACAGGCGGCGGTCACTGAGTGTTTAACCGGCAACCAACCTGTTGCTGTTTGATAACGGGTAGAATATCAAGTAACCATTGCCTTCATAAAAGAAACTACTCACAAGGTTGCTGAAAACTCTTTGACAGCCCACGACCGGTTTCGCGCTTTCATTTCGGGCTCATCAGGTAGGCGCAGTCCCCAAGTTTCCATCAACCTTACGTTCTACTTGAACCGAAATTGGACTGTTTTCGGGAAATACACTCATTTGTAAATCAATTTGGTTTTCACGAGTGACTCAACTGAATCTCTCCTTTATGATATGAAGGGCGAAACCGTTCGTGGGCTGTCGAGGCGTTTTCAGCAATCTTGTGAGTAGTCTCCTGTATGAAAATATACTACGACATCTAGAATATCATACCAAATGATACATGAGGCGGCCTGTGTGCAGCACATTCAGTTGTAGAATATCATAAACGAGAGATTCACTTCAGTCTCTCGTGAAAACCAAATTGGTTTACAAATGAATGTATTTCTCAATAACCATTGCCTTATTGCACATCCATAAATGGGTACCCACGAATAAATTTATTTCCATAAACTTACCTACTTTACTTTCGGGTGACTATCTCATGAAACTTCAGAAATATCCCAGAAGGGTGTTACCGTGAAGGGGAAACGAAACAGTCTACTGATCCTCAACTCCGACACTTTTGAATGTTTTTCAAGATCTCTGTCTTGCGGGCCGTTATTGGTTTGTTTTCCAGTTATGCACGAATACGATCGACCATCTGTCTTGGTCTCCCGAAATTCACCAATCAATTTTAATCAAAGGTTATTTGCCGAAAGAAAGTGCAAGTGTCATAGCTTGAACAAACTAACGCCAGTGCACACGTGACATGCGAGTTCAACCAATCAGGAATAGCAGCTGGTTGCTCGTAGCAACCGGTGCACATTTACGAATGAAATCAACGACGCATCAGAAATAGACCAACTAGCCACTGGAGCAATGAAGGTGCTTTTTTGAATCATGAGACACGGTAGCCGGGGCTGAGACTATGTTATGCATTACGAGAGCAGAAAAAACTGAATGATTCATCGTAGTGCAATCAACCATGAATCGATTTGATGACGGGCTCCACGTAAGCGAGCGTAACCTGATTTGAATATCAAAATACCAGTTCAGAGCTCCAAGTTGACCAAAATAGGAAACATGACAAATAATACTTAGTCTGACCTCCAATTTACCCAGGTCGCACCATAATGAGTCACAGATCTTTATATCTGATCAAAACTTTCTAGGTTCGAACCCGGTCTGTGGTTTTCTATAGAAGTCTTACTTTAAACTGTCGCACTGTCTATCAAGAATACTCGTCGTTGCTTTCAGGATCGCTCTTTTCTTCACCTCGATCTTGGCAATGAAGAAGCAAAAGCCTGGATCGCGCAAATTCTTGGGTGCTATTGTCCACATTGCTTGAGATTTAATTGACCTGAAGCGGCAGACAAATCTAGAAATCCATACAAGGCCCTTGTATCTCAGTAACATATATTCATTTCTGTGTAACAGATAGCCATCTGTATGACCTCCGAGTTGGATGAGTCCAGCCGATGGCCTAAGCAGTCACCTCGTGATGACATTCACACTTCCCGGAAACTGATTTCTCAAGGTTTCAGACTGCTCAGGGTCACGCCACTTGGTCACGATTGCAAACGTTCTCTTTGGTACGAACACTTCGAATACGTCAGCCCAGTCAATCCACTGATGCTTGTCACCTCTCAAGTGCACAGGTTATTTTACCGTTTCGTTTTCCAAAGTTCGACCTATTGAGACTTCGAAATGGTTTTCTACGCTTTGAGTTTACTAACCACCAACGATCGCCACTGGCCACACTCACTTGTTTTTCGCAATTCGAATCAGACAGATGACTCATTTCCCTCATAAGAAGTTTGGTTGTATTTTAAAGCTGACCCAGAATGGCTCTAGCTACGTTTTCTAATGAATTTATGAGTAGAATTCATGCTAGTTAAAAGATTTCTGAAAGGATGCAGGATGTAGCTAGTCCTCAAAGATTGCAGTTTTTGCATGACTCATGACGAACTTGAGTGCAGTTCACTCGTATATCTAATTCGTACAACGTGACTTCTCAGAAGACCAAATCACGAAAACAAGACACAGTTCAGAGCCGTACTCGAACCGCGCGATGATCGATTACTGTTTAAGATGCAAAACTACGATCGATCAAACATGGAATCGAAACGTGAGTGACAAACTGGTCGATGTGTCGAACTGAGCAAGGCAGCGCGTGCGTGCGTCTGTGCATGCGTGTGTGCGTGCGTGCGTGGGTGGGTGGATGAAAAACATGTGTATCTAAAGGGACAGAGAAATAAAAAAATGTTTGTCGCACAATGCAGCCGTCCGCAAGTGCCCAGGCGTTTTTGAAAGTTCTCAGCATGCTGGATGATCGATACGTATTTTGACGAACCTATACGTGCCATCCCTCGGAATCGCGTGTAGCTGGAACGTGTAGATGCAGAAATGTAGACGCCCAACGTAATATCGTTCCAAACCCGATCTTATCAACGGAATCACAATAGACTACAGGTTGACTACTGTCAAGTTGATGGCAAGCCAATCGCCGGTCTCCGGGTAGGTGCGGTAGTAAGCCGGAACTTGGAAGAATCGCTCGATGATGCCGATAGCCTAAAGATTACCAGATGGCAGGTGCCGGTTCTCAATGTTTGGCCAGTATTTTTGGACCGACAGATGGTTCGCGACAGACCACCGTATGTTCATCTCCCGATCTTATTCCCTCGAGAATGCACCGGTCCCCAGGGGGTGATATAAATCTTTAGTTTTCATAAACCCAGTCGATCGATTTGTCCCTCTAGGTGTCTAGTTTTGCAAGTAATTATCCGGAGATTCTCTCTGATTCGTAATATCGATTGTTTCCACGTGCGAATTATTTCGTATTGTCTCCTAATTCGGTGAAGTCGAGTTGAACTCTGGAAGCCAGAACGACGTTGAAGGGGACCTAACGACTCAGGAATGATGATGCATGAACACGCATGGCGGCTTGCACAAGCACATTGTCACCACTGCCTATCTGAACATCACATCCAGTTCTATCAACAAGACGGTGCACATTGCCGTGGTGAACCTGTTGGGGACTTGCCTTGACTTGATGCCCATAAACGAAGATTAAGCAAAGCGAAATCTACCTGATCAATTCCTGGGGCCATAACATCACCACACCCAGCCGCAAATGGAGTCGATTATATGATCACGAGATATGCAGTGAAGACCAGGCACAAGTTCCAGCTACAGTCGTTGTTCAGTAGCCAATCAGAGCAACTAAACTTTTGTAAAACCCGATTGACCTTGGAGCTATTCTGAGATGATCCAAGTTTCCACCAATAAAAAAACGGGCATTTTCTGCACGTTTTACCTAAACTCATTTGTCTTTTTTGGATTTTACTCCGTTTTGCTCCACATTTTCACAGCCTGTTTGTTCGGATTCTTTCTTTTATGTGCATTTCATCAGGGCTGTGACTATCTCTCACATAAAAGAATGTTGTCTTAATTAAGCTTTATTTGTAAGCCACTGGTGTAAAACTTGTTAGTTGGTTGTACGAGGTCATGGTTGTACGAGGGCTATGATGCTGCCAGGGCGCCCACATTATTCCATCTTTTGGCATGCGCCTTGCACCTTCAAAGTGCAAAGTCCTGCTTCAGAACGTGCCATCTGCGAACATATCCCTTACAATTCAGGGAGAACCACTGGAGATTGTGGAAAACTTTACATACCTCGATAGTTGTATTAGCTCTGACGGACATGTGTTTGATGAAGCCAGTGCAAGAATTTCAAAGGCTCGAATCGCGTTTGCTAATTTGCGTCACCTGTGGCGTCAAAATGGCACCTCACTGGATCTTAAGGGTCGTGTGTACCAGGCTACAGTAAGGGCTGTGTTGTTGTATGGGTACGAGACATGGCCTCTTCGGGTAGAAAATGTAAGACGTCTTCGGGTTTTCGACCACCGATGCCTCAGAAGCGTGGCTGGTTCTGAATGGAGTCAGCGTGACAGTATCAAGGTTATTAGAAAACGGGTATTTGGTTGTGCTGCAGACACTTCAATCCGAGAAAACATACAGCATCAT